TTTTCTCCAATGCTTTCATTGCAGCTTGGACTTCTTCCTTCAATACCATTGGTTCTTGATCATATGCTACCTCCTGAAATGGCTGAATATAGACCAATTCTTTCTGGTACAGTGACTCTGTGTATTCCTTCCATCTTCTTATGATGCTTCCTATATCATTCAATATTTTGCTCATAGAATCCTTCAATATCGCAACTCGAGGCTTGAATTTTTTCTTCAGTTCTGTCAGCTTGAGAAATGCTGATCATGTTCTTCTCTTTTCATTTTCTAGAGCCACCATTTGAAATCTTCTATTCAGCTCTTTTACTTAATTTCTTCCATTGGCTTTAGTTACTCTATGTTCAAGAGCAAGTTTCAGAGTCTCTTCTGACATCCATTTTGGTCTTTTCTTTCTTTCCCGTCTTTTTAATGATCTTTTGCTTTCCCCATGTATGATGTCCTTGATGTCATCCCACAACTCATCTGGTGTTGTTACCAATGTTCAGTGCACCAAATCTATTCTTGAGATCGTCTCTATGTTCAGATGGGATATACTCAAGGTTGTATTTTGGCTCCCATGGATTTGTTTTAATTTTCCTCAGCTTCACCTTGAACTTGCATATGAGCAATTGATGGTCTGTTCCACAGCTGGACCCTGGCCTTGTTCTGACCGATGATATTGAGCTTCTCCATCATCTCTTTGCACAGATACAGTTGATTTGATTCCTGTGTATTCCATCTGACGAGGTCCATGTGTATAGTTGCCATTTATGCTGTTGAAAAAGGTATTTCCAATGAATAGGCTGTTGGTCTTACAAAATTCTATCATGTGATATCTGGCATTGTGTCTATCACCAAGATCATATTTTCCAACTACTGTTCCTTCTTCTTTGTTTCCAACTTTCGCATTCCAATCACCAGTAATTATCAATGCATCTTGATTGCATGTTTTACCAATTTCAGACTGCAGAAGTTGGTAAAAATCTTCAATTTCTTCATCTTTGGCATTGGTGGTTGGTGAATAAATTTGAATAATATTCGTATTAGCTGGTCTTTTTGAAGGCATATGGATATTGTACCATCACTGACAGTGTTGTACTTCAGGATAGATCTTGAAATGTTCTTTATGACAATGAATGCAATGCCGTTCCTCTTCAACTTGTCATTCCCAGCATAGGAGACCATATGATTGTCCAATTCAAAATGGCCGATACCAGTCTATTTCAGCTCACCAAAGCCTAGGATATCTATCTTCAAGCATTCTGTTTCATTTTTGACAACTTCCAATTTTCCTAGATTCATACTTTGTACATTCCATCTTCCAATTATTTATGGATGTTTGCACCTGTTTCTTCTCATTTTGAGTTGTGCCACATCAGCAAATGAAAGTCTCAAAAGCTTTACTCCACCCAGGTCATAAAGATTGACTCTACTTTGGGGAGGCACTCTTCCTCAGTCATATTTGGAGTCCCTTCCAATCTGAGGGGCTCATCTTCTGGCACTACATCAAACAATGTTCTGCCGGTGTTCAGAAAGTTTTCACTGACCATTTTTTTTAGAAGTAGTTGCCAGGTCTTTCTTCCTAGTCTGTTAGTCTGGAGCCTCTACTGAAGCCTGTCCACCATGGGTGACTCTGCTGGTAATTTAAATACCAGTGGCATAGATTCCAGCATTACAGCAACACACAAGCTACCACAGTATGACAAACTGACAGTTATAATTACAGCCAAGAAAACCCTATGGAGCAGTTCTACTCTGTCACATGGGGTCACCATGTGTCAGAATTAATTTGATGGCTACAAGTTTGGTTTTTGTTGTCGTTGTTGGTTTTTCTCCTAGACAAAAATATTGTTACCATATTGGTAAATAGAGACACACACATTTGCGTGTTTTGCTTTTTTTACAAAGGTAGAATCATAATGCATAAATGTTTGGTAACTGTATTTCCACCTAAGAGTAAATTGTGACCATTAAATATTCCCCTAAAATATAAACAAGCATAATATGCATATTAAATACTATGCATATATCATGGCTTGCTTAATTAATCCTCTGCTGCTGGACATTTAGGTAATTCTCAGCTTTTTTATTACTATAAACAGCACTGCCATGAACATACATATAGGTGCTGCTTTGTGACTATCTTGGATTCTTTTTCCTTAGGACATGGAATTGCTGAATGGAAAAGCAGACTTCCCCATTTTTCAAAAGCATTTGATAAAGTGGCCAAATTATCCTCTAGTGTGCACTGTTCAACACGGTAGCCACCAGGCACGTGTCGCTATTTAAATGAATGAAACATAAACCAAATAAAATAATTCACTTCTTTAATCGCACTTGCCACAGTTTAAGTACCCAATAGTCACATATGGCTAGAACCTGCCAGACTGGACAGCACAGACATAGAACAATTCCATCATTGCAGAAAGTTCTATTGGACAGTGCCCGTTTAGAAAGACGGTACCAATTTACATTTTCCTTAGTATGATATGACAGTGCCTACCTCCCACATGCTGGCCAATCCTGAATACTGTAATTCTTTGAAAATTTTTGCCAACCTAATAAAATTTATATCTTTTTTTTTTATTTTTTAAAAATTTCTTTGGTTGCTAATGAAGTTGAATTTTTTATTTCTTGACTGACATCCATGCATAGTTTTTCTCTCAGGAATTATTTATGCACTAAGCCTGTTTTCTGTTGAGATGATCTTTTTCTTAAACAGTTTTTTATATATTAAGATCAATCTTTAGAGAATAATTTACGTAGCAAAAGTTTTTATTGTTATTTATCTTTTAATTTTATTTATGGCATTGTTTCACTTGCGGATATTCCAAATTTTGATATATTAAAATGTCTCCACATGTTCCTTTATGGTTTCTGCCCTCTTGTCTTGTTTTAAAAGCTCAATATTCATCTAACTTTTCTTCTAGTACTTTCATCATCATTTTAAGATTTAAATTCTCGATCCTTCTGGAATTTATTTTGGTGGGTGATTGTAAAGCATATATCTAACCTTTTTCTTTTCCCAAACGGTCAACCACTTGTCCAAGAACCATCTTAAAAAATAATTAATTCATTCCCTACCGATTTGAAATTTCACCAAATTCGTACATGTACTTGGATCTATTTCTAGGTTTTCTATTCTGTCCATCTATCCTTTGACCTTTACTATCCTGTTTTAGTTAATTTCCATTGGGAGTCCCTGGGTGGTGCAAACAGTTAATGAGCTCAGCTGTTAAGGGAAAAGTTGGAGGTTAGAATCCATCGAGAGGTACCTGGGAAGAAAGGCCTGGTGATATACTTCAGAAAAATCAGCCATTTAAAACCCTAAGGAGCACAGTTCTACTCTGACACACACAGGGTCGCCATGAGTTGGAGTCAACTTGACAGCAACTAGTACTTGAGGAATGCACATTTCTTCATTATTCTTTTCCAAAAATGTTTTTAGCTTTTTATCCCTGTTTATGTTCTCAGATAAACCTAAAATTATTTTGTTAAATTCCCCCATCACCAAAACAATTCGTCAGCACTTTGATTGAAAAATTTAATTAAATTTATGTAAAGTAATTTGGAGAGAATGCTCTCTGTCCAGTGTCAAGGAACTTTCAGGAATGTGGTGAGTCTATCCATTTTCTCAAGCCTTCCTGGATGTCCCCTGAACTGGCTTTTTCAAAAGTATGAAATGACGGGCATCTGTATTTTCAGACACAGTCTCTGAATCTGTGAGCTGGTGCTCACAGACTAGCAATAACAAAAGAAATTCCATTTCTTAGCACTGGAGTATATTTTCAGTCTCCACCTTCTCATAAATCTGCAAGAAAAGAGATCTCACTTTTCATCCAAATAATGGAGTTCAAAACAGCCTTTACGGAAAAATCAAACTCCAAGGGCAACTGCAAAGCACATTTGGTGTCTAGCTGGCCAGTTTATTTTGCAGGGCTCTTTTTTCCAACTCCCAAATACTTTCCAGTCTGTGAAATTCATCTCCTCACCACTGTAATAGCAAGCGCTGCTCCTGGCACTGGCACAGTATTAATGAGCCCCGATCTCCTACCAGGGGCTTTATACTGGTGAAGCTGGGTTTCAGTAGATAGCATGAAGCTTCCCTTGAATGACCATGGTTTAGCAAATTTATGGGGATTTGGGAAGTATTTAATTGGCCAGAGTTCAACAAAGTCCTAACCACTATCCATTTTAGTAAGGAAGCCAGGGCTCCTGCACCTCCCTGGCAGCCTAGCGGTCGAATGGCCAAGAGCTTGAATTCCCCTACATCAGGGAGGGAGGGGAAGGGGGAATTTACCCACAGGGGACATCTGCCAATGTCTGGAGACACTTTGGGTTATCACCCCTGGTGTGTGTGTGTGTTTTACTGGAATCCAGTGGGTAGAGACCAGGGAGGCTGCTAAACATCCTACAATGCACAGGACAGCTCCTCACCCTCCCCAACAAATAAGTATCTGGTCCAAAATGTCAACAATGCTGAGGCTGAGAAACCCTACCTTATATTTTCATTAACTGTCTGGTCAGCATGTATTATATTATTACGAACAAAGGTAATGCAGTTTGTGGGACCGCGTTTCCAAAAAGATAAGGTTGGCTTTAAAAAGCCCACGCCTCTTACTCTAGAGCTGCCTGAAAGTTCTGCCTCTGGCAGGCAGATCTTTTCCACCAACGTTTTTAAAGCAAATGAGAAGGATTCACAGAAACGTAGTGGGTCAACAGCATCCTCAAACTCTCTTGCACGCTCCTCCGTCACAGAAAAGAAGTTTGCCCCCTCTCCCCGCCGCCCCAAACAAGCAGCGAAGTCTCCCGTGAGGGCTCGGGGAGCCGAGGAGAAGGGAAAGAGGAGCGCTACCCCAACAAAGGCGCGGCGCTGGGACCAAAGCCACCTCCCCGTGGAGCCTAGGTCCCTCTTGCTCCCTTGGGATGCGTGCCTGTCCCAAAGCAACCCAGCCAACAAGCCCAGCCCGGGAGAAAGCATCATTAGCTCAGACGAGGGTGGAACGATTCATGGCACTTACTTGTCCAAAATGAAGTACAGGTCAAATCCCCCGTAGCAGGCTGGACCCCCATCCTCCCTGCGTCCCCCTTGCCCGGCGCAGATGAGCACAAAAGTGGCCAAAGAGAGACACTTGAAGCCAATCCCGCGGGCTCCCTGCTCCACGGTGGCCATGACCCGCAGCCCAGAAAGAGGGTGGCGTCTTCTGCTTCCCACGCTCGGCGAACTCGCCCAGGACCCTCGGGGACGAGCCATGCGATGGCCCCCCGCTCGGGTCCTTTATTCCCCCTCGCTCTCTTGAAACTCCCCGGAAGCAATTGTCTGGAGGAGTTCAAGGTTTTCCTTCTAGTTTCCGCTTCGATTCTGTTTCTGGGTTTCAGGTTTCAAGAATCCCAATACTGTACTCCGCTTTTTTAAAGGGGCTGCTTCTGGACTTGGGCCGGCGGGGCGCACGGGAGGCTGAGCGGAGGTTTTGCAATTGAAGCAGTTCGGTCCTGACGGTTCTTTGTCCCAGATTTTAAATATTATGGGGGTGGGTTTTCAAATTGTTCTTGGTTGGGGAAGTGCTTTCCCTTTTCTCCCTCCCCTGTACCTCCCAGTCTTAAATTTTTATGGGGAAAGATGGTTCAAAGAGTGCCACCTTGTGGCCAAAGACAGCTAAAGCACGCTTCGGCGATGTCAAGAACGGAGCTTGGGTGGGAGGGACTTGCAGGCTCCGGTTTTAAATCCTTTCCTTATTTTCAAGTAAGCTGTGCATGTTTTCTTATTCCATCCTTTTTCTCACGCATCTTCTTTTACTTTCTTCATTACCTCTTCCTCATTCCTAGTTTTCGCATTCTCTGATCTCTATCCACCCCCTCCCCCAGCCCCATTCCGACTCTGCTGATATGGTCATTATAAACATTTGATGAGAACTTTTTTCCTCCAACCGCAGGCTGGGACCTTTGCAAACAAGCCATTGTGCAAATTAAGCAGGGAAGAACAGAGCCTTTGTGATCTGAATCGCCTGTGACCTCACGTAGTCTTAGCGCAAATCATAAAAGAGACCCTTTGGAGGGAGCCCAGTTATATGGGTGAAAACAGCAAACACAGCCCCACAGAGCGGTGCCCGGTGGCTGCTTGGGGCTTGGAACAGCTGAATGCTCCAGATCGTCTCCTCTGCCATATTTTAGAGATTCTGTGATAACAGCTTTTTTTTTTCAGCCCGTAAACTTTGACTTTTTCTCTCTATCTTTGATTTGGGACAAAAGAAGTCAACAGCTTACAAGAGTATAGAGCATCCAAGCATTTTGAGACTGGCAGAGAATTCCTGTGCTAGCCCCCTCTCTAGATCTAGTGGGCGGCTGAGCCCCAGGTTCCAGGCTGGACCTGAGTTTTAGCTTCATAGCCCTTGGTGTACATTTGTGCCATTTCCCAGGACTGCTCTGTCACACACACATCTCCCCCACCTCTTGTGAGCCTCCAAGACCCTTACTTCCCAATGTGACCCTTTCGATGTAGTTTTTCCCCAAAGTGTGTACCGTGGAATCCTAGTGTCTTGGAATGTTCCCTTAAACAATTTTGTTGTCAAATTAAGTCTTGGAAATAATATTTCCTTGGTCAAATAAGTCTCAGCGATTCATCATGCAGTGCACTAGATTACCTCTGAAATGATCCCCAGGGCTTCTCACGTCCTGGTTTCATACCCTTGTATAGTCCCTTCCCATACTGAATAGAACTGACCTGCCTGTAATTTAAAAGATAATTGCAGAAATGATAGTGTGTGACTTTTGAGGCTAGGACATAAAAGATATTGCAGTTTCTTCCTTGCTCGTTTGGATCATTTGCTGGGAGTCCACTGCCAAGGACACCCAAGCAGCCCACTGGAGAAGTCCATGTGGAAAGAACCTAAGATCTACTGCGACCCTATGACCCTACTGTGAGCAACCAACATTCATTTGCTAGCCGGGTGAGAGATCCATCTTGGAAGTGGATCCTTCAGCTCAGTCAATCCTTCAGATCACTGCAGGCTACCACCTTGATTGCAACCTCACCGGAGATCCCAAGTCAGAACTACTCAGTTAAGCCCTTCTGAAATTCCTGAACCACAGAAATCAGATCAGGTGGTCCAATTCAGTGTGAGATAATCAATGCTTATTAGTGTTTTAAGCTTTAAGTTTGGAGGTAATTTGTTATGCAATAATAACTTATAAATGCATACTAAAGCTCTGAGAATTTTTTTTCTGTGGGAAAAAATGTTGAACTGTATTTCCCAGACTTATTTGACCACAAAGCTGTTCTTTTTAAATAACACCTATTGACATCTATACTTTGGAAATTACTACTCTTGGGAAGGAATAATTGGGGAGAGATTAAAGTACTCTAACCTGTTCAAATCTCCCCCTCCCATTCCTTTTCCCTCCCCAATGTAGTTCTATGATGAGAAAGAAGATGGGAAAATAGATAGAAATTAGATGGGTAAGGAGCCCTGGTGGTGCAGTGGTTAAAGTGCTTGACTGCTAACTGAAAGGCTGGCAGTTCAAACCTACCAGCTGCTCCACAGGAGAAAGATGTGGCAGTCATCTTCTGTAAAGATTTACAGCCTTGAAAACCCTATGGGACATTTTACTCTACTCTACAGGTCGCTATGAGTCAGAATCGACATGACGGCAGTGGGTTTGGGTTTGAGTTTTGGATTTAGATGGGTAAAGGAAAGTAGGAAGACTAGGGGGAACTGAATGATTTGAGAGAGAGAGGAAAATGTGGTGATGTAGGGTCTCATAATTAGTGTATGTAGGGAGATGGTAGAGATGGTCTTACTCAGAGACCCCAGACTTATTTACAGTGGAAGATACCAGGAAAAATCTGCACAAAACTGCCAAGTCTATAACCTCTTTCTTTGACATCTTTGCTAATGGCCACCATCCAAGTCCCAAGCCAGAGAGACCGGTGGTTCTTAGCCAAAGTGTGTGAGTACATGTGTGTGGATGGGGATGTGTGAAAGGGGTACTTACTATGGATTGGGGAGCAAGGAGGTTTACTCACTCTGGAATAACTAATGGTGTTTTTTCCATATACACATATCTGTAGAATATCATAAATAGGTGTGGGGGTTTGAGGGACAAGTATAGTCTAATACTGTCTCATAACTAGGCAATGTCTTTTCCCTCCTTACATTCTTCCCTGATTAAAAAAAACTATTGAAATAGGTATAATTAATGGTAATTCCCATAAACTGTTTGAGCACTAGACAGGACAACACACTGATTAATAATGTAATCTCAGATCAGGCTGTTTGGAGCAAAACACAGCTCTGCCATTACTAACTAAGTGACTGTTATGGATTGAATAGCGCCCCCGCCCCACACCAAAGGATATGTTGAAGTCCTAAATCCTGTACTGCCCCCCCCCCACCAAAGGATATGTCAAAGTCCTAAATCCTGTACTGTAAACATGACTTTATTTGGACATAGTGTCTTTGAAGATGTTATCAGTTAACAGGAGGTCATACTGGAGTAGGATGGGTCTCAGTACTATATGACTGGTGTCCTTAAAAAAGAGGACAAGAGACACAGAGAATACTACAGAGGAAAGATGGCCAGGTAATGATGGAGAGAGAGATTGCTGCAGCTGCAAGCCAAGGAATGCCTCGGGCTACTAGAAGCCAGGAGAGACATGAAAGGATCTTCCGTTTCCTAGAGCCTTTGGAGAAAGCATGGCCCTGCTGGACTCTTAGCCTCCAGAACTATGAAAGAATAAATTTCTGTTCTTCTAAGCAACTCACTCTGGGGTACTTTGTTACAACAGCTCTGGGAAACTAATACAGTGACTTTGTGCAAGTTCCTTGACCTAGCCATACCACAAGTGCCCCATCTACCAAATGGGGATAATAATGTTACCTACCTCATTAGCTTGTAGTGTGGGTTCAATGAGATAATGTATGTCACATGACACCAGCAGGAAACACAGAGTGGATGCTGACTTTTATTATTATTAGAGGATTCTGGGAAATTACATGTAAATTTCTTCTAGAGAAACACTTTCAAAGTGTTTGATATTGGTACCACCAGTGAACCAAAACTCTTTTCTGCACCATGGGCATTTGCATCATCAGCCTTGAGAAATGCAAAGATGAAGATTCTAGCCCAGCCAGGAACTACTGGGAATTAGAGGTTTCCTAGGATGCACGCAGAAAACAAATAGAAAACATGCTTTGGGGCTATCGATAGTCTATTGGCAAGTAATGCTATTTCTGCTAGCCAAGAATGTTGGATAGCTGAACTCTCAAGAAAAGTCTGAGTAAATGGTTATGATCACTGATGCTTGTTTTCTAATATTGGTTTTTTGAGCTCTAGGGATCCATAGAAAAGAACCCTTATTATTCCTCCTCATTAACTCATTCATTCACACAAATCAGTTTTTGGATGTCTTTATGTGGCAGGCACTGTGCTTACACTGAAGATACAAAAATAAATGGATCTCGCAGAGTTTAGTTGGGAGACACAAATGCATAAACAGGCACTGGTACAACAGTGTGGTTAGCTTCTCTTCTAGGGGAAATGCAACATATCCTCTCCACCCCAGCATGGCAATTCCAATAAGAAGTAAGTGAGACATAATGGGTTTATCAGTAATACATTGTTGGGCCACAACTTGTTGGGATGACTTGTCCCATGTGCTGAATGAATTAAGACACGACAAGTGTCTCTTCCTCCTAGGAATGAGATACTCCTTCCCTAAGAAGATCCAAAAGTGATGAGGATGGAGTCCATGAACTGGGCTACTTAAGCTGCCTCCAGTCTGGGTGAAAGGAACCCCCAGGATTCTTGTTTCTTTTCATAATCCATCCTGGTTTACCAGGGCACAGAGCCGTAACTAGTAATGAGTTCTGCTTTACCTGATGAATTTACCTCTGAGCATTGACTACTTAGGGCACTATCAGAGCTGGTTAACTTTCTGGCATAGGTTTTCAGGCTAAATGAGCATGTGTCCAAGCTGGGTGTTTGAGAGGCAGGCTCAACCTGGAGCCTCAAATATAAGAGCATTTGCCTTTCTTGTGGTCAAAGTCACAGTGCAGAAAACATGTGTCCTTTGCTGTGAGAGAAACTTTATATCTCCTGGGATAGGGATTCATTCCTAAAGCTAGAGCAGACTCCCCTCAAAATAGGTAGAACTCAAGGCACGGACAGTGTTGCTACCTCAGATTTCCTTTTCCTCTTTACCATATTTCTCATCCAGGGTTGAGGGCTGATCTGTTATACGATCTTGCTTGTGGTCATACATTTAGGACCTTGAAGTGTGTGTTTCTTCCAAAGAAAATAGTGGACTCAATCAATCAAAAGACATATAATAATGAATAAGAGCCCCTACCACATAGGGGAATTATTATCTTGGGTTGAAATAGAGGAAAAACTCAGTAGATTTATCACAAGAGCCAAGAAGAAAGAAATAAAGACCTACATCCAGATTATTGTGCTCAGAGGCAGAGGGAAATTCTCAGGTGGTAGATAAGAAGGCTTCATAATTTGGTGTCTGAACAGAAAACTATA